AAACAAAGGTCGGCATCCTGCATCCTAACTTCATTCAGAGACAAGGTCTTCAAAGGCGTCAGTCTCCTCAGGATAGTGGGCAGGTTTCCATCAGAGAAGAAGCTGCCATGCACATGAAGCTCCTGCAGGTGCTGTAGGTGCCTCAGCTGTGCCCAGAAGAAGTGGAGATAAATCCATTTTTCAAAGGAAGTATATTGGTGATAGGACCTAAACTTGAGGATGTGAAGGTTCTTCATCTGCCTGAGGTAAGGCGCCAACTTGAAAATCATTTTAACAGAGCAGCTTACTTCATTCAGGACAAGTTCCTGGATGGAGTCCAGACTCACCACCAGCAGAGTCTTGTAGACTTTGGACAAGGAGCTCTGGAGAATCTGTAGCTTCCTCGAGCACAGCTGGACTCTTTCCTTCTTCTCCCTGGCCCACTGGAGCAGGTAGGCTTGGAGATCATCCTGGGCTCCATTTTGGATGGTCAGGTCAATGGCAATCATCAAGGGTTGCTGTTCAGTCATCCATGAATGGCAACTTCCTGTGGGTTTGTCAATCAGAACTCCTGAAGGAAAGCTTCGAGCCATGGATGTGTAGCCCTGTGTCCAGATGTCTGGGTGCTCATTCCGCAGATCTAGCACTTGCAGTTTCACCCCATGAGGGCGCTCCTTGTTGGCAAGTATGAGGTCCAGCCCATCCAGGACAGCCTTGAAGGTTTCCAGGTCTGGTGACTTGGCCAGGTCCCCCAGGGGGAGGCAGGAGAAGGGCCAGGCCTGCACCATGGCCTTGAGCACCTCTGTGTGGCCCCTGGCATAGGCCTCCTGGAAGAGCCAAGGGAACAGCAGCACTGGAAGATCCTCCAGGCCAGAGGTGGCCAGGGCCTGGTAGCTCAGCAGACTCTGCATGGCCAGATGCTGGAGTGAGGCAGGAGTCCTGATGCTCATCTTGAGGGAGGAGTCCTGGACCAAGTGTGAGGCAGGTCTAGGAATCCCAGCAGGGCCAGGCACTGACTGCAGGCTCTGGGACTCTGGTGCTCTTCTCTGATCCCTGGGCATCTTTATACTCCAACCTCACCCTCTCCATTGCAGATGTTCCAATCAGAGAGCAGCTTCTGATGGGATTTCTGAGCCTCTCAGATCACACCTTGCTAGGGTATTGCCCTTGAGAAGAATCCAATCAGTGGAGTTCACCAAAAAGTGATAGGGTTAAAGGTGTGACCTAAACAGCCCAGCTTCTCTTTGAAATTTAAAACACAATGCAATGGAAAGACTTCCCATGCATCTACAGAAATCCCTCCAGACATTCCCACAGGTGTTGCACTTGCTGAGACTGCAAGGGACCCAACAAGAGCATCCAGCTCAACTTTCTAACTTCCACAAAGACTTCAGGAAATTCTGTTTCTGTATTTCTTTTCCTCCCTCCCATCCTCCCTTTTTCTCTTGTTTCCTCCGTCTGTCCCTCCCTTCATTCCTTCCCTCCTTCTTTCCTTCCTTCCTTCCTGTCCTGACCCGCAGGATGTCAAGGAGGGCAGTGAACCTAAGCGAGAAGGAATGAAGGGACAAGAGACACGAAGAATGACAGCAAGACAAGGATTCTGATCAAGCTGCCAATTTTTATTTTTCACACAAGGGTATTTATATGCTTGAAATTAAGAAGATTTTTCATTGGCTGTTAAGGAAGCTCTTTCATTGGCCAAGGCAGCTGTAGGATGTTTGCTTAGGACAAGGTGAAAAGGTGGTCGTTAGCAGCTACCTGGTGTTTGGGGCAGGACAAAAAGACCAGATTCTGTAAGCAGCCTCGAGATGTTCCAGTGAGATAGTCAAACCTATCATGCAGAGAGACCCCCTTTTGGCTCCCAACACTTCCTTCCTTTTTTCCTTCCTTCCTTCCTTCTTCCCTTCCTTCCTTCTTATGAGTTCAACATTTCAATCTGTGAGACCACAAATTGATGAGGAGTTTGGAAGGCCTCCTCCGAACATATTCCAAACACTGAGAATTTCCTGGAAAAGTCAACCAGTCCTGGCTTAAGGGGAAATCAGATTTCTGTGCTGGATGTGGGCCAAGTCCCCTCTCAACTGTGTGGGAGCATGGGGAGACTCAGGTTTATGGAACTTTTAAGGTATTTACCACTTAGCTCTACTTCCTAAATTAAGGAAGTCATCTACTAGTCACATGTTGAAGTGTATACCTTACTTTGTACACACACTTTGCTGTACAAAAACCAGTAAAACCCTTGGTTCAAAGAACCTTGGAATCTGACGTTTGCAGAAGGCTACAGGTCTCCTGGTATCCCAAACCTCAGTTTCATGGGTTGGACTCCTTTACTGCCTTGATCTGGGTCACAGCAGGTTAAGGGCCATGAGCAGGTTACAACCCCTTGCTTCCTTATTTCTCTCCTTCTGTCTTTCCTTCCTCCCTCTCTCTGACCCTCCCTTCTTTCCTTCCTGCCTACCTTCCTTCCTTTTTTTCTGTTCTTCCTTCCTTTCTAATTTTGTACTGAAAAGGGACTTGAACTCAGGGCTGGGGGCTGTACCTGACCTGCTTCTTGTCAAGGCTAGTGCTCTATCACATGAGCCACAATACTAATTATGGAATCCTAGAAACTCTTTCCTATTTTTGGTACACTTCACTTTCTTTCTTTCTTTTTTTTCAGTAAGGGATAGGTTTATTCAGTAGACCTGGTGGGACCAGGCAAGATTGGCACTCCATGAGGCTGCAAAAGAGGGTGTCTGGCCCAGGGTTAGGCCTTATATAGGGTAGGGGCGGGTGGGGGGGGTGGAGGGTCCGGTGGAGGGAAAGGTGTGTCCAAGTAAGGGGAAGTGGGATCAGGTGGGAGAAAGGTGTGGGCACATTAGATTAAGATGTGACCTCAGTGGATACAGATGTGACCTCTTCCAGGTGTCCCAGTTGCCTAGGTAA